GTGGGGTTTCATACTCACATCTGACCCATCTGGCTTCCGTTTTACGTTTGAGGCTAGGATTAGGGTACCGGTTAATGGTTTCCGATTTTCTGGTTAGGGTTAGGGCTTGAACGTTCGAATATGTTTCAGTATTGCGGTTAGATTTCTCATTTACGGCTATGTCTAAGGGCTACGGTTACGTTAACGATGTCGGTTAGGGTTAGTGTTAACGGATAACGTTCAAGGCTGAGGTTAGGGTTAGGATTAAGGTAAGGATTAGTGTTAAGGTCGCTGTCCGCTTCCCCATTCATGACTACCAACTGCGATCTAGCCGACTACTTAAGTTGCAAGCATTTTTCTCATGGATTTCCGATGCCTCATAAAGTCCATTTATATGTCAGGGAAAACATCCCATTAATATTAATTCATATGTTAATTCGGAGGACAATTACGTCTTCTTTTAATCTTTTACTCAAAGGAGGGAAAAAATACGGTTTTCAAAGCATTTTCCAATTCCGAATAATGTTGAACTCTCTCTACCGTTACACTCGCGTCGAGGGTTAACAAACTACAAACCGTGTAATTTCTGCGTACGGAAAACCGCACATTTCTCTGCGGTAATAGAGGGGGACCATAGAGAGTTCATAAAATTTGGCAGTGGAATTGAACCATATTGCAAACTTTACAAGCCACCATGGTAAATGCAGAGACATGACATTTTATGAACGGCCAGTTCGCGGTATTAAAAATCTCACAATCAAAAACTTATTTTAAAGTCGAATTGTGCCCTTTCTTTGAGTATAAAATTAAAATAAGACGTCATTTTCTACCGAATGAACAGAAGAATGAACATTTCTATGTCTGTTTTCATAAAATATAATTGTATTTTTAAGGGTATCGAAAATCAATGAGAAAAATGCATGCTATTTAAGCAGCCATTTTCACAGAGAATAATCGTTGTCCGTTGGCGAAAAGAAGTTCGTTTGAAAGCCGGTATCCTGCAGTAACTGAAGTATTTTAGAATTATGCTACATACTTATTAGTTTGATAATCCTACTTAATTAATCTTTTCAAGTATAAAACGCATTTCAGAATTTTGCTTGACATTTCATGAGTTAGCTCACCTACTGTAAATTCATGGCAAAGAGGGCTGCCAACTGACGCGATAGCTCAGGACAGAGATTTAGACAGTACTGGCTCCTTCGCGTTGTGCCTTCTAAGGCACCCCAAAACCTTGGTTTCGTGAAAGCCCGGTGTACTACACGGAGAGCCAGCCCATGCGTGGCACGCGTAGACGGATCGTTTAGCTTTGCCACACACTGCACCCACCATTGGGCTGACTTGCTCCTTCCAAAGGACCCGCTTGGATGAGGGAGAAGGAAGTTCGGCAGATGCTGCCACTATGTTCTGACTTCCGCACAATTCACGACCCTTCGCTGGCCATTCTGCGAAGCACACGGTGGACATCATCGTTCGCGGTAGTCCAACCGACAGCTTCTGACTGAGACATCGAAAAAAAACACATTTCGACAGAGATGAAGAGGCTGCTGTCAAGTCTCCTTCACGGACAGGGCGCGTTTCGCCGCCGCATCATCAGCTTGACGAGGGCGGGGGAGGATGTCCCCGATAATGTCAGAACCATCAGCAGCCGGGCGTCCGTCCAAGTTGATGACGTCTCGTCCCGTGGTCTCAAGTGGCCTTGGGACATCGTCTGCCTTTCCGGCAAAAAAGAAGCTTTGGTGGGCCGGCAGTAGATTCTGCAGTCTAACATCCATCCCGCGAACCAGCAGAACTACCAGAAGTCGTCGAAAGTGATTGCAAACAAGCCATGACCATCCAAAGTGACTGTCAGAGTAGTTAACCTTCCCCCTGCCTCCTCAGACCGCCGACCTTTGCGCTATTCCGTGTGGGATTGGACGTTTGGCTAGGAATTGCCAGCCCCAGCATTGGAATCTCGAGACCGTGAAGATCTCCTATTCTTTGACCGGAGAACAATACATTGAGGCCGAAGATGGACGTGTCGACTGACGCTGGATGAACTATTCGATCAGGTATCAGGGCTGCCCATGTGAGATTTGCCAAAGGGTAAGTCAGTTCTGAGACTGCCAAACAAGCGCTGGTGGTGATGAAGTGCCCCACTTCCCACTGAAGACCATGGGAAGCCCTAAAAGGCCTATTTTCAACTTACCAGCGTCACCGTACACTTGTAAACAGTCGGCACCTAACTGTCAGTAGACTATGGATATGTCATATGTGCAAAATGTGGTTTTAGATTGGCATATATTTGCAGGCTGTTGCAGAAACTTCATTGCCAACAGCGAATACTTCCCACGACCTTACACCTTAAATAAAAATCCCCTATTTTGTAGAATTTACTTTTTGTTTATTTGTGACTTACTACTCTCCTTTCCGATGTCGCAGGATAAGACTTTCGGCATAAATCCAGACAACTTCTGTAGTTTATTTCATTTTGTCAGCTTACTGTCTAGCTTGCTGCCCCACCCGTAAGGCTCCTTTTGCTACAGACCACGTAGGGCACTATCCACAGTCTACTGACTGTTAACTGGTGTCCTTCTCTATACCGTTGCCGTGGAGGAGGAGGAGGA